GGCTATACAACTTTCTAATGATTTGGATTATAGTCATTTATTCTTACATAGAGCTTATTACATCTAAGCTTGCCAAATGCATCTTTGGAAATGGATTCCTTCATTTTATATGAGTGAAGAATCTCCTATAATGCCTGTGTGGGTGTCCTTACAAACTTGAGATTATTTTTTTTTTAATACTTAAATTTTATTTTCTTGAAGGTTGATTAATGGTAGACCTCTTCAAACTGACCAGGCCATGACTTTTATTTCTAGGTTGTTTGTTGCCCGTATCTTAGTTGGAATGGATGTCTCTAAGAAGCATCCCAAAAAAGTTTTGCTTAGGCCTGAGCTATGTGGTTATTTTCAAAAAGTGGAATTTGCAAACTTCTTGATTTTTTATAATCATTGTAGAATGCATGGTCATAGTAAAATGGAATGTTTTATTTTGCATCTAAATCTTTATAGGCTAAAGAATTTAGCTAAAGAAACAAAAGGGAAAAGTGAATCATCTATACCACCCATAGAGGATGTTGTTGAACCAGATCACTTGACTCCTAAAAATAATGCAGAAAATTATAGTGTGGATGATAGGGTTGTCCAGGTTGATGATAAACCAAACCCAACAACTTTAATTCAACAACATAATTGATGTAATGTGCCGAACAATCTTGATGAATGAATGGCTCTTATGGTTAATTTTCATAACATCATCTTAACTTCTTTGCAACTTCCATGCTCTACTAATAAGAACTATATTGAATTTCATTCTTTTTTGAATACTAATAAATGTAATATTCATGATATTTTTAATTCGATAAAAAAGGAACAAGAAATTAGTGAGCACAACTTGCATGGAGAACTTCTCCTGGATGGAAATGAGGAAAGTACTTGTACTTATGCCATTAAATTTAGAGAGGGTTGTAAGGAATCTCAAAATTTTTCTATAAATAATATAATTATTAATGATCATGATCATGTTCAAGGTGGTTCAAAAGGTATGACTAATGAGAATAGTGGCTATATTTAAGTCTAATAAAATGAACAAGAAAAATAAAATTTTATTTTTCAGTCACCTAGAAGCACCTAATCTCAAACTTTCCAATTGCTTTCTAATGATTATGTCTATTATTTGGAATGTTAGGGGTATTGGTTGACCTTCTACTATAATTAGAATTAAAAATTTATGTCATATTCATCACATTTGTATGTTAATTTTACTTGAGCCTTTTATTTCTTCGGTCAAGTTTGATACTACTGCTCATTTTTTAGGATTTTAATCATGTTGTGGCCAATGCATCTAACAAAATTTGGGTTCTTTAGAAGGACCCCATAGTTATTGATATTATTTGATATTTTAATCAAGTGATTCACTGTAGTGTTAGTTTTTTTGCATTTTAACTATTGTTCTTCTTTTATTTATGCGTCCACTTCTCGTACTATTAGAAATACTTTGTGGGAGAAGTTTAATTACTTTTGTAGTGTTATTAATTTGCCTTGGTTGGTTGGTGGTGACTTTAACACAATCTCCAGCCTAATGGAAAGGCTTGACTCTACTTATCATTTTATGGAAGACTTTAATAACATGATCTTAGATTATAACCTTGATGATATTGGTTATATTGGAATCAATTTAACTTGGATTAACAGTAATCTATGGCAGCAGTTTGATCATGTGCTTTTCAATGATAATTAGATTAATACTTTCAATTCCACCTATGTTGAGCACCTGAGTAGAACATTATCTGATCACTCTCCCATGCTTACTACCATTATGTTGAGAAATGATAATTCTACTTCCAACTTCATATTTAAAAGTTTGTGGCTTCTTGTACCTTCTTTTCTCAGTAAGGTTCAAGTTAATTATGAAGCTCCTCTTCACCAAAATAATTCTATTTTTAATATGAACAGATTGTGGCTTAAGCTCAAAATATTAAAGAATTAAATTAATTTGTGGAATCGCAATGTCTTTAAAAAATTTTTCACTAACATCTTCATTGTTGAGGACAAAGTGAATTCTTTGGAATCTTTTTGTCAACATAATCCTTCTAATGAGAATTTGACTCTCCTCCAACATGCTAAAAACTATCTTTTTAAAATTCAAGGTCAGGAGGAAACCTTTTGGAAACAAAAGATGGCTTCCAAGCATCTTATTGAAGGGTACAATGACATTAAATATTTTCATGCTCTTGTTAAGAGGAATAGAACTAATAATTTCATCCATAAAATTAATCGTGGTGGTGGATCTTAATTGAGGATAAGGGGGAAATTGCCAATGATGCGGTGGAGTTCTTTAAATTTTTTTTAATAAAAATTTCTCTCCATCCATGATTGATAATCCTAATATTATTCCTAACCTTAGTAACCATGAGGATAATATGGTACTTACTAATCCTCCTTTTTTGGATGAAATTAAGGAAATTGTTTTTTCTATGACCTATGATTCTATTGTTGGGCCATATGGTTACAATACTACGTTTTTTCAAAATGCTTGGGATATTGTTAGTCATGATTTGTTTAATGTTGTTTTGTATTTCTTTGTGAATAATCATATGCCTTAATTTTTCTCTTCCACCTTAATTGTGCTTATTCCTAAAAATACTGCACTCTATAATTGGAATGATTTTAGACCTATTAGTCTCATACCTTTTTAAGTAAACTTATTTCTAAAATCCTTATGAACTGTATTTCTCCTTTACTTTCAATAATTATTGTTCATAATCAAATTGGGTTTGTGAAGGGCAGGTTTATACGGATAACATTTTACTTTCTCAAGAGACCATCCATGATTTGGTTGTCAGGGTGCCCGATTAACATTGTTTTTAAATTGGAAATAGCCAAAGCTTATGATTGCATTAATTGGAATTTTCTCTACAATAATTTACAATTGTTTGAATTTAATTCAGTCTTCATTAAGCTCATTAAATAGTGCGTTAGAAGTTCTTTTTTTTTCTTTCTTTATTAATGGCAAAAGCCATGGTTTCCTTAAATCCTCACATGTTTTAAGGAAATGTGATATGATCTTTCTCACTCTTTTTATTATTACCATGGAATATTTATCTAGAGCCATTATCAATCTTTATAAAAATTATGCTAATAGTAATTATAGGACTTTGGGTGGTTTTCCTATTTCTCGTTTATGTTTTGCCAATGGTATTATTATTTTTCCAACAGATCTTTAAATTGGGTTAATAGAGTAATGAGGTTTTTAAATATTTTTGAAAATTATAGTGGTCTTTTTTAAAATAAAAGTAAGAGATGATTTATTATGTCGAATAAAGTGTTGCATACTTTCTATTATGAATACTACTAGTGTTTTGCATGGCTCCTTACCTATTAAGTATTTTTGGGTTCCCCTTTATAAAGGTAGGAAGAAATTATTTTTGTTTGATGATCTTCTTTCTTATGTGCATAAATAGCTTAATTCTTAGGATTCCAACTTTTTAAGCTATAGGGGTAGATTAATCCTTATCAAAAGCGTGTTGTGTTCTTTACCTATTTATATATTTCAAACTTTACTACCTACTCGTGTTGTTTGTAATAGGATTGAGAGATTATTTAGCAAGTTTTTCTGGAAAGGTTCTAACAAGAACAAGAATTCTTTTTTGTCTTCCTAGACTAACTGTTCTGAGGCTCTTGAGGATAGGTTTTGGGTTGTAAAAATATGTATGACTTATCCTATGCTTTTTCTATTAAGCTTTGGTTTAATTTTCATATTTAACTTAGTATTTGGGCAAAGTTTATAACTACTAAGTATTGTGTTGGTAAGCATCCTACTATGTGCTATTATAACAATGGTAATTCTAGAGTTTTGAAGTGGCTTTGTTGTATTAAGTGGATTATTGAACCTCATGTTCAATAGGGTCTTGGTAGTGCTAACCTCTTTTTTTGGAAAGATCAGTGGCTTAATGGTCACTCTATAGACTATCTTCTTAATTCTTATTCCACTACTGTTGTTAAAGTTAAGTTCTTTATCACTACTGATATTTAGGATTATAATAAACTTCTTGACATTCTTCATGAGTTTGTTATTTTTAAAATTTTACATCTTCCCATTAATACTAATTCTAATGACTTATTACTTTGTGAACTTTCTCAAAATGGTATATTTAAATTAAAGGATGCTTAACATGCTTTTAGAGATCAAAATTGTGTCATGAAAGTTTTTTCTATGATTTGGCATAAAAGTATTCCTAACACTATTTTTATTTTTATCATGAGAATCATGCATATATACATTTCTACAGATGATAATTTGAGAAAAAGATGCTTCATTTTAGCTTCCAAATGTTAATGTTATCATATCAGAGGCCCAGATCATTTACGTGTTTTAGATCCTAGAGAGAGAGAGAGTCCCAGATTTTTTAGAGAGAAAAACTCTTCATTTTGAATTTCTATTTCCTGCAAAGCTCGCTCTCCACCGATGACAGTGGATGGCTGTCGGCCTTCATCCTCCGACGTTGGTGATGGTCGATGTTCATCATTAAATGTTAAATATTCTTTCTCGCTCTAATCATGGTTCGTCTCGTCCTTCTTTCGGTGATGCCAACTTGGTGTTTGATCACGATACAAAATCAAGGTTTAAATTGGTTGTGCCTCTGTTTGATCACGAAGTCTCTGGTCAAGTTTTAGAATCCACTATAGTAGAAAATTCTTCTACAGTGGGGGTTCATAATGATGTGCATCATACTAAAGTTAATTTAGACAAGGTTCACCAGTGTAATTCAGCTGATCTGGGCAATTGCAAAGTTGCAGAAATTTTGATTTCTTATATTCCTCCCCAATTGAGTAAGGTATTAGCAAATGCTTGGAACAAAAATAAAAAATTTAAAACTATTGATTTCAATTTTGGATAATGTTTGTCTGAAGATGGAGTAGTAAAGTTGCATATGCAAAATGAGGTAGAAAACACAAGCAGGTTGCTCAATTCATTTGTGGTGAAAGTGTTTGGAGAGTTTGTGCCTTACCATGCAATAGGGGTGGAATTAAGGAGGCAAAGGACTCAATTTGGGAAGTTCCATATGACTTTACTTGGAAGAGGATGGGTATTATGTGCATTTGAAGACCGAAAAGCTCTTGAATTTGTTCTATCTAGTGGACCATGGTATGTGAATGAATATATCATTGGTTTTGACAAATGGTCTCCTTCATTCCAGCCTAATTCTTTAAAAGGTTTAACAACTCCTGTCTGGATCAGGATGCCTAACCTCCCTTTACAGTGTTGGGATGAAATTAACGTCTATATAATAGCTTCAAAGGTTGGAACTCCATATTTAATTGATGAAAACATTTCTCAATGGGGAAGAAGGGAGTTTGTAAGAATTTATGTAAGAATCAAGCTTGAAGATAGATTGACTTTGGGTGTTTGGGTGGAGGGAATTTCTGGTAAGTTCTACCAAAAGATTGAGTACGAGGGAATTTTTTATTTTTGTTTCAAATGCGAGAGAATTGGACACTTGAAGAACAACTGTTTAGTTGCTAGTGCAGAAATCTGTCAGGTTTCTAGTTCAGTTAAGAATACCAATGTAGGAGTTGTTGTTTCAAACAAGCCAAACTCAAATGAAGGATCATAGGAAGAAGGTGTCAATGAGGTTGATAAAGAAGGATATAGACCTTGGATCCATGTGAACTATGGGAGGAGAAGATTCAATAATACTTGGACTAGACCCGGGCATAAGGAAGTAAACAATACTGTGTCCGTGAAGGAAAATGGAGTTGCTGGAAATTCTCATGGAGAGAAGGTAAATGGGAATGATGTAAGAGTACAAAATGAAGAAGTTATTGTAGTAACAACCACTCGGGAAGAAGAACTGCAACAGGAGGTAAAATCTGGCCCTTTATGTATTAAAGTTCAAGAAATAGGAAATGATACTTTTGGTAAAAAAAAGGAATGATGTTTCTATTTGCATTCCTAGTAATAATAATCAATTTGAAGTGTTTAATCAGCTGGAGGAGGAAGGGGAATATCTGAACTCAATGATTATGGTGTTTCCAAAGGTATTGGAACAAAAAGCTATAAAAGTAGATAATATCTTGGAGTTTGAAAATGATATGAAGGTAATTCAAGTAGGCATCTTGGGTGATGGTTCATCAATGTAAAGAAAAAAGGTACGAAGCAGCTCAAGGTATTGGGACCTATTAAATTGGTTCCAAGGAATAGAAGATTGGAAGGAGAATCAAAGGAGAAGTTGGGGAGCTCTTCCCCTATTATTCAATGATGTCATCCATAGGATTTTGGAATTGTATAGGATCTAGGAAAATATAGCTTCTCTTTACGTGAAGGAGTTTATAAAAGACCATGGAGTGTTCTTTCTTGGGTTGTTAATTTGTTGGTAGGGAGTGATTGGGACTTTGTTAATGTTCCATCTGAAGGCTTGTCGGGTGGCATTATGGTGTTATGGAATCACAATTTGGCTTCTTTCAAGGTCTTGGAATCTTCTTCATAGCTTGTAATAAGTGAGTTAGATGTTGTTAACAAAGGTAAGTGGAAAGTTGCTGATGTAAATGGGAGCAAGGATGTTTACAAGAGGATGTCTCTCTGGGAAAGATTTGAATATCTTTTGACTAAAGATATTCCTATGGTAGTGGGTGGAGACTTCAATTGCTTAACATCTAGGGAGGAAAAAAGGGGACGAAGGAGATTTATTTATTCCTTTGGTCCGAAGGAGATGAATTCCTTTATTACATGAAATGATTTACATGAGGTTAGGTGCATTGGACCCAAATTCACTTGGTGCAACAATAAGAAGGGGGCTAAAAGGATTCTTGAAAAACTGGATAGATGTCTTCTAAATTCATCAGCGTTGAACTCTTCTAATCGTTTGGTAGTTTGGCACTTGGCTAGAGTTGCATCGAACCATTGTCCGATTTTATTAAACTTATTAGAATTCAATGTGCCGTGTAAGAAGAATATCAAGTTTGAAGATATATGTGCCTCAATTCCAACTTCGATGGCAGTGGTTAGAGAAGCATGGAGGAAAAAAACTGTTGGAGAATTCCCTCAAATTCTGAATCAGAAGATGAAGATATTTATTAAAGCTTTATATTATTGGAGTAAAGCTAAGCACAAGGATTTAAATCAATCTAAAGATGAGCTAAATAAAGAAATTTTGGATTTGAATTGAAAGAGGCTAATTTCTGTTTCCTTATAGATGAGTAAATGTGGCTTTTGAAACTAAGACAAATGCTTTAAATTCTACATTGTCTCAACTTTGTACTTGGTGGAGGCAGCGAGACAAGGTTAAATGGCTTATGGAAGGTGACTCAAACTCAAAGTTTTTCATGCATATGCAAATGCTAGAAGGAATTCAAACTTCATACATAAAATTAAAGATGATAATGGTTTGATTGTAGAAGAGAAGCAATAGATAAAATATGTATTATTTAGTTACTTCAAAGATAAATGGAAAGAGAGGAATTTTTCTATGGTTGGGCGGCATAAGTCATGAAAGACCTTGAATGGAGATGATTTACTTATGTTTGATAGAGATTTTTCCATGGGAGAAATAGAGAAGGTAATCAAAGATGGTGGGAATATTGCTCTAGACATGATGGTATCTCTTATTCATTTTTTAAATCTTATTGGTCTATAATCAAGGATGATTTATGGAAGGCTTTGGATCACTTCTTCAAATCTAGTAAGATGTGTAAGGAGTGTAAAGAAATAATCATAGTGCTAGTACCAAAGGTAAAAAATATTTTGTCTCCTTCCAATTTTAGACCAATAAGTTTATGTAACTCTGTTTACAAGATAGCAGCTAAGATGATTTTAAATATGGTTTTTCTTGTAATTCCTAAATTAATATCGGATGAACAAGTAGCTTTTTTGAATGGGAGGTCTCTTTCGGATCATGTCTTAGTGGCCCATGAAATCTTCCACAAGTTTAGATATTCTAAATCCTCCAAAGGTCTTCAAGATAGACTTGGAACAAGCATACGATTCAATGAGGTGGCCGACTTTATTCAAAGCTTTAGAGGATAGTGGTTTTCCAAATAAATTTTCTAATCTTATTTTTATTGTGTTTATAGTCCTTGCTTTTCTTTATCTATCAATTGGAATTTGCCTAAGTGAATAGAAGCAAAGAGCCATTTTCATCAAGGATGCCCATTATCTCCTTTTTTGTTTATTATTTGTACATAACTTCTATCAAATTCTTGTTCACAAAAGAAGGATTCGGTGGGTATTCATATTTCTCCTTATGGGAATAAGATCACTCACCTATTATATGCCGATGACATTATCATTTTCTCGGAAGCAAGGTTGAAGATGATTAAGAAGATCAAAAGCATCCTCTTGGATTTCTGTGGTTGGACAGGTCAAAGGGAGAACACTAGTAAATTTGGAATCTTATTTGGTAAATCAGTAAAAGAAGGAAAAGAAAAGTAATTGCTAGACTTATGGATTTCAAGGAGATAAAAGAATTTTTCTATTTAGGAATCACAGTTGTATTGAGAAGAATGGTTAAAGCTGATTTCCAATTCCTCTTAGATAAAGCATTGAATATGTTTGGTGTGTGGGGTGGAAAATTTATATCTTTAGTCTGTAGAATCAGTTTGGTTAAGTCAGTTTTGTTATCATTCCCTACCTTTCATTCAATTCTTTCATTCGTTCCAAGAAGTGTTTTGAATTAAGTAGATAAGTTGTGTAGAAGTTTTATTTGGAGAAAGAAAGATGGAAGAGACAGTCTCCACTATGTTAGTTGGGAATCCATATGTAGACAGAAGGATTTGGGTGGCTTTGGAATTGTACCATGTTCTAAGAAAGCTGGTCCACTTAGAGCCAAGTTGGCTTGGAGGTATTACCAATACAAAGACTCTTTCTTTATGTGTCCACAACTACCTCCTATATGGTTTTGGTATTTAGTTTATTTTGTATTTCAATTGTCATATTATGACTCACATGCCGTTAATTTTTTCTAGTAATTCCTATTATGCTAAGGCTTCTTTGCTTTTCAAAAAGTTTGGCATGAACTTTTCATTTAAGATTTTCTTGTTCCTTGATCCTTTCATTTTTTTTGGGTGATGATCTCTGGCCACTATAGATTATTCCTAGTTGTATTTGTACTTCTTCTTAATAGGGACCTTGAGCTTGTAGGTTTAGTTTTGGCATTTTTTGTAGCTCTTCTGAGCAGTAATGAGCTCGACGACCCTTTAAGTGTTAAGATAGTTGCTATTTGCATGCCTTAAATTTTTGCAACTTGTATAGTTTTGATGATTCCAAACATTATTATTCAAATGTGTAGTTATCTCCTAATAATTTTAGAAGATTTGTATTTGCTCTTGTGTGTACTAACATTTCAGGAAAATCGAACTCCAGACTACGATGACTTCAAATCAAATTCAACATGAGATACTTTGTTAATTTGAAGCTTGTACTTTTCTTTGAAATAAAATTGAAAGGGAGTGATTGTAATTTGAGTGAATAAAAACATACACACACACATAAAGAGATCATATAAAATTTATACTGATCGTACGGGACGATATCCGTTTGTACTGGACGATCGGATAGTTATCTCCTATTGAGCACATGGAACAAATAGGAACTGGCTTGA